CAGTGTATGTACTATCTGCAAGCCAGACCAGTCTGTTTTAAAATTTTTCTGTTTTCCTATGGAAATCAAAAGAATCAATAACTACTGCAGGTTAGGATGGGTGGTGTAAGATTGGGGAAAGTGTGGTAAGATAAATTGTGGTAGCAGATCAGTGCTTACATGTTAAAATACTCAGTTCCAACATTCAATTCTATCTAGACAAATCCTTAATTAGGCCATTCCTGGATCAAAGCTTCTATAACTATTTTCTCTCCATAGTCCCAGCCATTTAACTTTAGCTTTTGGGCTCAGCATCATTTAACCTCTAAAAAAAAATCTTAAGTGTAGGAGGAGGAACCTAAAGAACTTTAGTTCAACACTCTGAAACTTAGCAGTAACCTCTACCCTGACCTAAAATCTTTTTTGTAAGTTAGGGTATTGTCTTGTCCCACTTCCTGCATCTTGTACCCATTTGGGATCATTAGGATGTGTCTTGATGAAATATAATCAACCCACCTACACCTGGATGCTTTGTTACCCTCACTTTTAATTTAAATGAAGGCTGGAGTCCCTCAAACCCCTTCATGGTACTTGGGGCCCTGTCAGATACTGCTAGATTTTACAGTGTCAACTAAATTACTTAGCTGTTTAGTGCTCCAAATATCCTTTGCTCCTATATTTCCCATTCCAGTGTACTACATACCTATTAATGCATTCTTTCACCTCATGTTGGATCCACTCCCATCCAAAGGCCTACTCTTTGCTAGGTCTTATACTTTCTGGAAATCCTATTTTGCCTAGGTCTGGAGTTTCTTGTGTCAACTCTAACCAAATTTGTGTCCCTATCTCAAGCTTGTGTCTTGTAGCAAATTGGAAGTATACTGGTAAGACAAATATTGTTTTTCTAGCTTCTGATAGATTTATGAAAAGACTGTAGGTATCCATATCAATAATACTTTTTTGGCCACTACAGGCCTGCTGTATATATTTTTCATAAATTCCAAAAGAATATTTTATGTTTTTGTATCAAATTTGAATGTGGCTAATTGTACCTTTGCAAACTGTGCTAACTTACATATCTTTTTCAAATAGTAATTTACTAATATTAACCTATTTTTAATTTTGTGGTAATTTTCAGAAGTGTAAATACTAACCAATATAAACTTGGTTAGTATGATTGCCCCAGAAATATTAAAAGTAGTCATCTTTTGCCCAACCAGTGTGACTCAGTGGTTGAGGGTCAATCTATGAACCATGAGGTCACGGTTCTATCCCTGGTCTGAGCACATGCTTGGGTTTTGGCTTGATCCCCAGTGGGATGCATGTAGGAGGCAGCCAATCAATTATTCTCTCTCATCATTCATGTTTTTTATCTCTATCTCCCTCTTCCTCTCTGAAATCAATAAAAATATACATATATATTTATTTAAAATAATGATCTTTTTACCCATTCATTTATTCAATTACTGACCATTCCGATCCTCAGCTTACCCAGATCTCAAATCGTTATGAATATTAGTAACAGTGTATATAAGGCACTTTAGAAAATTAGAAACTAAAAATTAAAAACAAAAGGCACTTGCTATTACAATTACCTACAGTTTAATCTGAAATATGGTATTCTGTTTAGCCTTCAGACCTACTCTAGCACATGAGGTCCTTTGCTGTTTCAACTCATAGCTGAATTGAGAGTTTTTGTAACAGATACAGGTCTCTATGCCTGATAGTGTATGGAAATCTTAGACTTGAGTTCCACTGCTGCCTATTATATTTTGCTATTTTCTAAAATGTAAATACATATATCTGACACATGACAGAAACCCAATAAAAGTTTCATTGTGAGTGGCATGTAGATTAACACTTTATATTTGGAGGATAATTAAGCTGTATCTTTCAAAATTTTAAGTTCGCATATTCTTCATTCCAGAAATTCTACTTCTAGGAATTTAAATATAATTGTATACATGTTTAAGGATGTTCACATTGTAGCCTGTTAATGGAGGGCAAAATGACTGCAACCAACTGAAAGTCCCTCAGTATTGGACTGGTTATATAAATTATGGTGCTCACAATCAGTGCAATACTATGCAACCATTAAAAATAATAGAATGGATGTACCCATAAGTTGACCTGAAATCTGTTTGTAGATATATTGTAGAATGTATATTTTTTAAAATATATTTTATTGATTTTTTACAGAGAGGAAGGGAGAGAGATAGAGAGTTAGAAACATCGATGAGAGAGAAACATCGATCAGCTGCCTCCTGCACATCTCCTACTGGGGATGTGCCCGCAACCCAGGTACATGCCCTTGACCGGAATCAAACCTGGGACCTTCCAGTCCGCAGGCCGACGCTCTATCCACTGAGCCAAACCAGTTTCGGCTAGAATGTATATTGTATGGTGATTTTGTATAAAATAGAGGGTATCCATATTTGAACTAATAAATATTTATATACACTAGACTAGACAATAAGTGTGAATGTAAGCGCTTGGAAAACATGTGGGAGGACCGCGCTGGGAACTGGGGGGCGGGACTTAACTTTTCACTCCATGGGCTGCAGCATTGCAGTCTGCAGGGTCTGTACATGAACTCATGGACCTGTGCTACCGGCCTCCGGCTAAGGAGGGCGCCACAGCCCCTACTAGAGTCCTGTTTACTGATCCCGCCTCTCATTCATCCTGCGCGTGACGTCATCGCCACGGGCAGCGGCGCGTGCGCGTTAGCCAGGAGCCTGGTGGGAGGTGCGTGCGCGTTAGGCAGGAGCCTGGTGAGAGGCGCGTGCGCGTTAGCCAGGAGCCTGGTGGGAGGTGCGTGCGCAGTGTCTGTGTAGGAGCTTCCGGTGGAGGATCTTGTTTTGGCTCCACGGAGTTGGGCTGGCGACCTGGGCGCTCTTGGCGTGGGGCGGGCGGTCTCTCGGGGTCCACATGAGCCAATGGCATCGTGCCCACAACCGCTGGGGCCGGGGACGCGCCTCTTCTGGACGCTCGTCTGCCAAGAAGAAGGGCGGGAACCACATCCCGGAAAGGTAAGGTGGCTTGGCCCCTGGGCGTGGCCCTTCCAGCCTCAGCCCCCGGCCTGGGCTTCCTCTCTCCGGTCTCTGCCTGTTAAGGTGGCCCCTGGTTCCAGACCGTCCGTCCTTTGCCGGAGGCCCTGATCTGTCGCTGCCCCGCCCTCAGGAGCTGCTGGGGACCGTCTGCGTTTCTGACTTTTCCCATCCTTTTTTAAAATATATATTTTTTGTTGATTTCAGAGGGGAAGGGAGAGGGAGAGAGATATATAGAAACATCAATGATGAGAGAGAATCATTGGCGGCTCCTTGCATGCCCCCCATTGGGGATCAAGCCGGCAACCTGGGCATGTGCCCTGACCTGGAATCTAACCCCGGGAATCTAACCGGGACCTCCTGGTTCTCAGGTCAAGGCGCAACCACTGAGCCACACTGGCTGGGCTCCCATCCTTTTAAAAGACAGGATCTTCTGCCAGGAGGCTGGGGGGACGGACATCTGTAATACTCTCAATACAAATAAATTTTTAAAAAGTTATAAGGAAAAAATATAGAAAAGTGAGGCCCTGCCCATTGCCCTTCGGGTAAAATGCAGGACTGCTTTTTAAGATGGGACTGTCAGTTTTGGGGCTACTCATTAATTACCAAAATAGAGTCCCCCTTAATTCCAGAAGTTGTATTTTGACACAGAAAATGTACTAGCTATGAAGTTTGAGTTTAAAACCCACCAGTACCGTTGAACTTTTAACCGAAAAAGTTGGTTTGTATTGATTCCAGGAATGACAAGGGGCATTTTGTTGCTTCCTAATAGGCTTATTTTTTATAGATTCAAATGGTTAATGTTGAGCCTTTGCTTATTTTAAGTACAGCGAACCCTTCCTTATTCATTGACACCTTTCCTCCACCTCATACCCCATTAAGTCCCCTTCACTTTACCTCCTGAAAATATTTGAATATTCCAGTTTCTCTCCCTCAGCACCCAATACAGAACTTGCCTGTTGGGTCCTCGATTGCAGTTAAGTCCTCAGTATTAGATGTATATCCATCTACTCTTGTTTCCTTCCAGTCCATTCTTCACATAGCAAGTCTTTTTATTTTTAAATATATTTTATTGATTTTTTACAGAGAGGAAGGGAGAGGGATAGAGAGTTAGAAACATCGATGAGAGAGAAACATCGACCGGCCGCCTCCTGCACACCTCCTACTGGGGATGTGCCCGCAACCAAGGTACATGCCCTTGACCGGAATCGAACCTGGGACCCTTGAGTCCACAGGCCAACGCTCTATCCACTGAGCCAAACCGGTTTGGCAACATAGCAAGTCTTTTTAATAGGAAAATTGGAACATTGCTTATAAACATCACTCACTCAAAAGCATTGTTTCAAGAAAATATTAACTCTTTACCTCGGCCTTTAAGACGCTGTACTCTCTAGAATACACCCTGCTTCCCCAGCCCCAACGTGCCCTCACTTCCAATGCTTAAGATAGACCGAATCAACCTTGGTTCATGCTAACTCATCCGACAGAAGTCAGCTCAAATGTTACTTCTCACTGTGACTCCTAGCATTATTAAGCACAGCTCAGTGTCACCGTTCTATGGGGTTTTCTTTTTACCATATGAACTGGAAGTTCCCTGCTGATCCAATAATGATGGCATCAGTTGTGTGAGGACTAAAAATGAACTGTGAAGTGAAAGAATTGAGTTTAAACTATTTCAGTTAACATCTATGTATTTATGCCTCCTTAGTATTCAGGCCCAGGCTGGGTTTTATCGGGGATATAGAAGTGCTGGCCATCTCTGTTGTTAGTCATTCCTATTTGTTGAGACCTTTGCACTGTTTGTTGCCTTGTACGTGTTTTCAAGATGGAGAAACAGGAAGAGGGGAAGTACAGGTAACTCGGTGGGGGTGAATAAGTGGAGCAGCAGAGCAAAGAGAAGAGGGGACTGAGGAGTCCTCAGTGTGTGCTGGGAGAAAGGCTAAGAGAATTTGGCTAACACAAATGTACTAACAGGTGGCAAGACTATCTCCCTGTTGGACAGAGGATGCCTGGGACTCGTTTCATTGCTTTTAAAGTTCCTTTGAAAAAGGTAAGGAAAAATTAACCAGTTAACTGCCATGCGTCCAAAACAGAAACCATCTCCACACGCCACGATATTTTGAATTTAATTTAAAAAATCAGTTTGCAATGATTATTATAAAAATAAATATATTACTCACAATTCGGGTGTTCTTGAATATTTTAAGCTGAAAATTCTCACGAAAAATAATTTTAAAGTTGGTCAGGGCTGCCACTAGGGAAAACTTTTTTTTTTTTTAATAGGCGTGCATGGCGTGTGGGGAAGGTCCGCCACTTGTGTCTACAGATGCTTATGGCGCACAATTAATTCAATATTCATTTAGAAATTTGAATTCACCATATAGAACAGTGATTCTCCATTCCGCCACACTCCATTTTCTCTTCTTATAGCACAAACTTTGTATTTTGCCTTTTACTATCCTGAAATGAAATTCATAGATAAACACAACCCACTTCCATACTTAATTAAAAAAAAATCAGTGTAATGCTGTAACTATAATACAAGGAAGAAATAAAAGAATTTATAATTAATGTATATTTATATTTCAGTATGTAAATATTTAGGTGTAACTATATTAGCAATAGAAAAACAGTCAGTTACTTGCTCCATGAATGCAGAAATTGCAAATGCAGAGTGGGTTAGGTGGGTCACATTGCCTTAGTCATAGTAGTTTCCATGACAGTGAACAGCTCTTGGTACATTTCCAAATAAAACCAAGTTCATCCTTGATTATTATCCTGGAAAATTCAGTGTACCTTAAAACCCTTTTTGTTTGTAAAATAAAGTTCGTTTCTAAGGCTTCAGTAATTATGAATAGTTTTTTCACTTATATGAATGTTGAGTAGGGAATTCAAGAGACATTCAGGTATGAGCCATACTTGTAGGACTGTTCTCTGAGTTTGACAAGATGTCTAGCTCCATGACCCCACCCACTACATACCAGTAAGACCCTTTGCTCCCATCATTACAACCAAAAAAATGCCCTGGGTCAGCAAAATTAGGATTTCAGCATGGAAATTTTGAAAATTGTTTGGTTTTTTTGTTTTGTTTTGTTTTTTCCATTGAGGGGAGAGAGGGAAAGGGAGAAACATTGATGTGAGAGAGAACATGGAACAGTTTCCTTCCTTTAGGTGTATGGGATGACGCTCCAACCAACTGAGCCACACCAGCCAAGGCTGAAAATTGTGTTTTTGTTTGACCAATATAAAAATGGTGAGAAGAGATTCCATGTCTCATTAAACTGCCCATCATAGCATGGATTAGCATCAGAAAAAGTCCACTTTATTTTCTTTTTCTTCTTCCTTCCTTCCCTTCCTTCCTTCCTTCCTTCCTTCCTTCCTTCCTTCCTTCCTTCCTTTTTTAAATATTTTATTGATTTTTTACACAGAGGAAGGGAGAGGGATAGAGAGTTAGAAACATTGATGAGAGAGAAACATTGATCAGCTGTCTCCTGTACACTCCCCACTGGGGATGTGCCTGCAACCAAGGTACATGCCCTTGACCGGAATCGAACCTGGGACCCTTGAGTCCGCAGGCCGACGTTCCATCCGCTGAGCCAAACCGGCTAGGGCTCTTTTTCTTTTTTAGAGTCTACTTTAAATGTATTGGGAATTTATTTAATTTTTAACTCATATATCATTATAAAAAGCCTCTTCTAGCTCTGTGTACTTTAGTGATTTCATTCAGTGTTGGGATTAAGACACCACAAAGCTGTGTAACCACTCCCCGGGCAGTCTAACCTGTTGATGCAGTAGGATGGGGAGATGCATGACCCCTGGGTAGAAGTCAAATGGACATTGGTTTCCTGTGTGTCTTATGGAATTCACCTAAGGAAAAGTCACCTCCATACTTGGTAATCACTTGTTAAGCATTCTGGAATATAAAGTGGAATATGTTAAGTGTCCAGTGCCATGGCCAGAAATAGCTAGGAATTCAGAAGAAGGGGAAATGATAGCAGGGTTAATCAAGGAAAACTTCCTAAGGGGTTGTAACTTAGTTATCAAAAACTAGTTATTGTTCAGATACCTAGAGATGATAATTGATCCATCAGCTCCGAATCTTCAAGAAACTGTCTGGAGCCCTGACCAGTTTGGCTCAGTGGATAGAGTGTCGGCCTGTGGACTGAAGGGTCCCAGGTTCGATTCCAGTCAAGGGCATGTACCTTGGTTGTGGGCACATCCCCATAGGTGGTATGCAGGAGGCAGCTGATCGATGTTTCTCTCTCATCGATGTTTCTAACTCTCTATCCCTCTCCCTTCCTCTCTGTAAAAAAATCAATAAAATACATTTAAAAAAAAAAAAAGAAACTGTCTGGAGAAATTGTATGCCTTGTTGTAATTAATTTAGTCTTGAAAACTTTTATAATATTATGTGGAAGACTTGACATCATAAATCAGTTAAATCTTCCTACATTCATTCATAAACTTAACATTATCTCAAATGGTCTGATTCTGAAACTCATACAGAAAAATACACTTAAATAGCTAGGAAGATTCCAAAAAAGAATAACGGTGGAAGGGGATCTTCTCACCCTACTAGTAATTAAGTAGAGGAGATTTTTAGGTTAATGCAGCTATTCTGTGTGACACTGTAAGGGTAAATACATGTCCTTATAAATTGCTCAAACCCAGCTCTGGCTCAGTGGCTCGGTTGGTTGGAGTATTGTCCAGTACACCAAAAGGTTGCGGGTCCAATTCCTGGTCAGGACACATACCTAGGTTGCAGATTTGATCCTTGGTCGGGGGCACGTACAGAAGGCAACTGATCCATGTTTCTCTAACATCAATCTTTCTCTCTCTTCCTCCCCTTTCCCCCCTTCTCTCTAAAAATATATTTGGGTGAGTATTTTTTTTTAAATTGGTTAAAACCCATAGAATTACAATGTAAAGAGTGACTCAATGGAAAATATACACATTAATTGGTAATGATGTGTCTATTGATTCATTGACTCTAACAAATATACTACACTGATATGGAATGTTGATGTTTGGGAAGGCTGTGTGGGTTGAAGGGGAGAGTGTTTAAGTGAGAACTCTTTACTTTCTGCTCAGTTTTACTGCACCGAAGCGTGCTTGTGTATTTATTTAAAACACACACATACACATACACACACACACACACACCCCTTTATTGTTGTCACTTGAATAACCAATAAGATCTGAGGAACAGAAGACACAAATAAGCCAAATACATAAAGACCATTTAGCAATTAAAGTCTTTTTTTCACATATATACACATTTAAGAACTATTATAAGTGCCTCTTTATAGGCACTTCACTTGGAGCTGAGATACATGGGACAAAATTGATGTGGTCCCTGCCTTCTGGGAGTTCTATGGTCTGGTTAGGAGACCAACATGAAACAAACACAGAAGTAAATATATAGATACCAGCTTATTTTCTTACCTCTAGTCTGTCTGGAAGAAAGGATTGTAATATTGCTTGTAAATTGCAGAAACCTGAAAACTTTCCTTTGAATCTTATTGTATGTCAGCAGCACAGGGCTTGAATAAATGGGTAATAAAATAAAGAATTTTAAACACCCTTTGCTGTTTGTTATTTTATTCTCTCTGACAGAGTTTTGAAGAGAAACTTGCTCCAGAAGAACGCTTTTCCCCCTTGGACCTTTTTAACAAAATCCAAGAACAAAATGAAGAACTTGGACTGATTATTGATTTAACATATACTCAGCGCTATTATAAACCAGAGGTAAATTGAAAAGAACCTTCTTTTCTGATACTATAATAGTTCATAGTAATTAGTAGTTATCACCTTATGCCAAGGTGAATCCATGCCTTCTTTCATGGGTAGTAATTGAAAAAGGGAACCAACTGGTTTCCTTAATTAAACATTTCTAATTGCGGTCTCAAAATGAGATGAAAGACATGAATTAAACTAATATTTGGCAGTAGGTTTTGTATGTGATTAAGAAGTTCTATAAGCGCCCATGTTCTCTATTTTGAAAAGGAAGTAAACTTTTCGAAGAACAGAAGCCTAAAAGAAAAGAAAGGAATGTTCATTATGTCTTTAGCCTTTATTTTAAGCAGTTGCCTGAGCATGTGTAAGCATCACAGTAAAAGACAAGTTGTTCTCAAGGTTGTGTACTTTCCTTCCTACAATCTTTTGAAGTAATACAGAAACTCAGATACTCTGTTGGTCCATTTGGCATATCAGTGAGAAAGACTTATGCTCCTTTTGACAGGTTCCATGGCCTTGGGAAGCAATAACACCTAATGTTTGTCAATGCTTGTGTAGCAATTAGCCATTGGAAAAGTACTTTCACATACCTTAACCCATAGTTAATCCGCACAACAGTCCTCTGCTAATGAGGTAGTAGTAGTACTGATATTTCCTATTGAGAACTTACTCTTCACTAAGCTCAGAAGATAAGTGATTACAATTACGAATTTTACAGATATTGAAACAGGCTCGGAAAAAAAAGAAAAACGAACTCAAATTATTCCTTTTTCTTACTGATGCGTTAATAATATTTATTTTAACCATTCACAAGTGTACAAATTCAGTAGCATTAAGTACATTCACAATGTGTATAACCATCACCACTGTCAATAACCAAAACTTTCATCCTCCTCAACAAAAGCACTTGTTACTAGAGAATCATACTTCCAGGTCACTCGTGGGAGCGAGGTTCTTGTGATAGCTTCAGAAAATGAATTTTCTAAGATCTGCATGGGAGGATGGGATGTGAAAGAAGGCATTTGCATGAAGTTACATTTCTTGGGTTCCAAAGTCTCTGCCCCCTTAAGCCAGCCCTGGAAGGGGTGCAGCTGGGTTCCAGCAGAGCCAAAAACAAAAGCAGTGTCTAGAGTTTTCGTTCCATGTTGCAGCCAGATGTGGCTCAGCATTCAAGTTCATTCAAGTCCATTAGTCCATGTGTGTGGAGCAGGATCCCCCTGCAGCAGGGGTCCCAAGAGGACCTGCATGTGAGAGAGAGAGAGAGCACACACTTCCTTTGGAAGTTTAAATATTTAGGTATTTTGTGCTTGCAAGTGGCCACACCCATCTTGGCCATTAATTTGTTCCCAGGTATGACTGGCAGACAGGTAGGCACCTTCCCACATCATTCAGACCGTACTAAGCTTGCATCTAAACTGCTCTGTCCAGTCCCTCCCCCCATCGATCAGCAGGGAGCAGACTTGGAGAATGTTAAATGTAGCTTTATGGCAAAGCTGTGCAAATGGCATGCCTATATCTAGTCTTCCCTTTCCTTCTTTCTGTTAAATAATAACCAGGCTTTTACAGTGGCATCACACTGAACCATTAAACAATAACTACCTCATTTCCCCTCTCCTCAGTCCTTAGTAACCTCTTCTATTTTCTGTCTCTATGAATTCGCCTATTCTAGGTATTTCATATAAGTGTTCATACATTTGTCTTTCTGTGTCTGAATTACTTCACTAAACAATGTTTTCAAGGTTCATCCATGGTATAACATGTAACAAAATGGCATTCCTTTTTGATGGTGGAATAATCCATGTGTGTATATACCATATTTTGTTTATCTGTTCTTCTGTGATGGACCCTTGGATTGTTTCCACCTTTGGCTATTGTGAATCATGCTTCTATGAACATGGTGTACAAGTATTTGTTCAAATCCCTGCTGCCAATTCTTCTAGATGGATAGATAGGAGTGGAATTAGTAGTCTGTTTATCCTTTGACAATCTGCCAGACTGTTTTCGACAGTGTCTTCTTGTTTTTAAATAATTATCATAAATTTTAAACATATATAGTAGCAGACATAATACTGTGGGTGTTCGTTGTCCACTGATAAACTCATCCAGCTTTCATATTTGTCAGCGGATACTGTGTTTCATCTGAACTTCGACCTGTTTCTCTCCATTCCATATTATTTTGAAGTAGATCCCAGATAGCATAGTGTTTTACCTTGTACATTTTTGGTATGTATATTTAAAATATAAGAATTTATTCCTTAATATCATTCTTTAATATTAAATATCCAATCTGCATACAGATTTGCAGTTATCTTCTCAATCTCATTAAAAAATTGTTTTTAAGAATTTGCGTTGGATCCAAATAAGGTCCACACTTTACATTTGATTTTCAGGTCTCTGCAATCTTATTTAATCTCTAGGTTCTCCCTCCATGTCTCTCACTTTCCTTTATTTCCCCCCTTGAATTTTATTTTTTGAAGAAACTCGTAGTTTGTCTCACAGGATTTTAATGATTCTGACCCTAGGTATTGTTAAAATATTCTCCAGTGCTTTTATTTTAAACTAGAGGCCTGGTGCACAAAATTCACGCACTCGGGAGGGTCCCTCAGCCCAGCCTGCACCATCTCGCAGTCCGGGAGCCCTTGGAGGATGTCCAACTGACGGCTTAGGCCCACTCCCTGTGCGGTTGGACATGCTTAGCGCTGCCACGGAGGCAGGAGAGGCTCCTGCCACTGCCACTGCACTCGCCAGCCGTAATCCCGGCTTCTGGCTGAGCGGGACTCTCCCTGTGGGAGCACACTGACCACCAGGGGGCAGCCCCTGGTGTTGAGCATCTGCCCCCTGGTGGTCAGTGCATGTCATAGCAAGCGGTTATTCCGCCGTTCAGTTCATTTGCATATTAGCCTTTTACTATGTAGTTGGACCTAGAGACTTAATCAGATTCAGGCTTGGTTTTTGTTTTTGCTTTTATTCTTTGTAAGAGAATTTCATAGGTGATGATGTGTTCTTCTGTAGAGCCATATAAGTGATGGCCTCTTTCTGTAATAGTAGCAGTCACTGATGATTGATACCTACATCCAGTAATTCATTTGGGGCTGCAAAAATGGTGAATTCTCTTGTTCTTTTTTCACTTATTAGCTGGGTATGTTTCTGTCAAAAGCAGCTTTCCCTCATCAGCAATTTGGTTGCCCAATTGTAGAGCCATGATTCTTTCCTTCTTTAACAGTTTTTAAAATAATGAGTTGATTCACTAATATCCTCCAGTGATGACCAGTTAGATTTATTTTATTTGTTTGTTTGTTTTGTTTCATTAGGAACTTCATTGCAATTATTCGTATTGAGGCACAAATCGAGGTCCTGTCTTTGGCAGTTGGAGCTTCTCAGTGTGGCCCCTGACATGTCATGATACCATGGCATCAGTTGTTCCTTTACTTTTCAGTTGGTCACAGTTAGGATATGTGTTTGTATGGTTTTGGTATTGGGTTTTTTTAATGTTTTTATTGATTTTGGAGAGAGAGAGAGAAACATAAATTGGCTGCCTCCTCCACCCCCCCTATTGGGCATAGAGCCCAAAGCCCAGACAAGTGCCCTGCCCAGGAATGGAACCTGAGACCCCTTGGTGCACAGGACGGTGCTCAACCAACTGAGCCACACTGGCCAGGGATGTATGGTGTTTCTTTTAAAAAATAGTTTTTATTGATTTTAGAGAAGAGGGAGGGAGGGAGAGAAAAATACTGATGTGAGAGAGAAACATCTTGGATTGGCTCCCTCGTGCATGTCCCCTACCAGAGATCAAGGCCGCAACCCCAGCATGTGACCTGACCAGGAATCGAAACGGTGATCTTTATGTAAAATACATCACAGGCTCATACTGATGTTTTTCTTTTAAGTTCAGAAGTACAGAATTTTCATTTAACTTTCTCTGGGTTTTAATCAGTATCACTTTCTCCTACCCAGTTCTCATCAGTGTCTGAAATTACCTCGATCTAACAATTTAATTTCAAGTATTCCGATTCTTTTATACTTAAATCACAGTTGCTTTATGATCCTTGAAATGTGAAATATTAGGTAGTATTATTTATATAACTTTTAGTTACATATGCATTCATTCACATGAATTTTGCTTTCAGTGTTGTATACCTATTAACTAATGAAAATCTAGTGATACTTCTTGGTTGAAGCAGCTTTGGAAAAAATGGTTCTTTTATCAGAATTACTGACATATTGTTTATTATAATCTCTTGATTTATATTTTGGTTCTTCTAATTACTTTTTAATTCTTTCCCTGCAAATAAAATAATATACATTTTAATGGTTTTGCCTTATAGGACTTACCAGAAACTATTCCTTACTTAAAAATTTATACGATTGGTCATCAGGTGCCTGATGATGACACTGTTTTAAAATTCAAATGTGCTGTTAATGGGTTTTTGAAAGAAAATAAAGATAATGGTGAGTTGTGTTTTGTTTTGTTTTTCCTTACCTAACTTTGGTATTCATTTTTAATTAGGTTGGGAATTTTAAATATTTTTAACAGTTCCTATATTAGGCCTATTGTATTTGATAATGTGGACCTACCAGGTGGTGGTAATAGGATAAGATGTTTGTTCTTTTAATTTTTTTTTTTGTAAGAATAATGGAATTCTTTGTTTTTTCTTTTCTTTATTGTTTTTTAGAAGAAAAGACGGGAAAGAGATAGAAACATTGATGAGAGAGAAACATCATTGACGAGCTGCCTCCTGCATGCCCCCTACTGGGGATTGAACCTAAGTCCCAGGCATGTGCCCTGACTAGAAATCAAATGATAGTGACCTCTTGGTTCCTGGGTCAATGCTTAACCACTGAGCCACACCAGCTGGGCAAGATGTTTGTTCTTTCATGGTTAAAAATAAACAATTTAGTTTGGAAAGTGGTTTTAGTGAGAAATGAACTGAACCAGCTTATCTTTATTTTTTTAGATATTTGAATGGGAAATATATAATAAAATTAAAATGTTCTTTTGTGTTATTTATTAAGAGGTGAGAGGTGGGTGGAAGAAAACATTAGAATCTCACCATCTTAGAGTGGGTAAAAGAGAAAATAAAAGGTAAAGGTTTAGAGTGAGACAGACCCTAAGAAGCAAAATAAAATGGAATGGACTAGTGCAGTGGTCGGCAAACTGTGGCTCGCAAGCCACATGCAGCTCTTTGGCCCCTTGAGTGTGGCTCTTCCACAAAATACCGACTTCTGCACATGGGCCACGAAGTTTCAATCGCACTGTACGTGCGCACCCGCACGTGGTATTTTGTGGAAGAGCCACACTCAAGGGGCCAAAGAGCCGCATGTGGCTCGTGGGCCACAGGTTGCCGACCACTGGACTAGTGGAATTGCATCCTTATCATTTGTATTTAAAATATTTCTGCTGTTTTTCCAATTTGGGCACAAGTAAGGAAGGTCATGGTCACCTCGTATTATTAGTTTTCAGATGGAAAGAACTTAAAAAAGGCTGGTTTTCTTGTTCCTGCTTTAAGATCTACTTTCCTGTGTTTGAAAGCAGATCTCAGTAGCTTTTGAATTTTAAAGAATCAGTTTACTTCTAATGGCATGTAGCTATCAGAAGGAACATGGTGTCTGCCACATTTTAAGACCGAGGAATCTTTTTTCCTTTGGAAAGCCACACATCCACAGGACAAAGTTTTCACTTTGTCCTCTTTCTAAATTTAGCATAGGGAGTGTACACTTTATGTAAATCTGACGTATTTTAAATATATATTTATATATATAAACAGGGAGTAGGGGAGGAAGAATAGAGATAGATATGGGAAGGTAGGGGGTAAGAGAAAAGAGATAGATGGGATCAGTGGGTTTTAAGATAAAACTTTCGCTTAATGTAGGCCAGGGGTCCTCAAACTTTTTATTATTTTTTTTTTTTCTCAAACTTTTTAAACAGGGGGCCAGTTCACTGTCCCTCAGACTGTTGGAGGGCCGGACTATAGTTAAAAAAAAAAAAAAACTATGAACAAATTCCTATGCACACTGCACATACCTTATTTTGAAGTAAAAAAACAAAACGGGAACAAATACAATATTTGTATTTGCATGTGGCCCGTGGGCCGTAGTTTGAGGACCCCTGATGTAGGCACTAGTTCTTAAACATCTTAAGCACAGATCTCTGTGCTTTAAATCTGGAGAGGCTGGGCTTTGCCTGTGATAACCACAGCATCTACAGAGGAGGCAAATGATCTTATTTGTATAAACTGTAGTCACAGGAACATTACCTCTTAAATGTTAGGGTGGCGCTGCTGGCCTGCTCACTGCTTCCAGGCTTGTGTGTGTGGAACTGGTATGCAGTGTTCCATCAGTTCCCGTGAGGGCTAGAAGGTCCATATGAGTGCGTGAGACCGTGTTTGTAAGTCTTGGTGCACATGTCACACCACGTGTAGTGTGCTGCATAGACTGACCCCATGTTGGTCTGCTTGCATTGTGCTGACTTCACTGTGTCTTGCAGTGCTCCCTGCCTAGCGGTCTCAGGACCTGGCATACAATCCATTCTTCTACCCCTGCTCTAAGCCCCTCCCACAGATACCAGACTCACTGATGGAGAGGTGCACCCTATACAGTCCACTCCCTCGACCTGGTAGACTCAGAAAACCAGTTGATTCAGTAAACACTTGAGAGCCTATTGGGTTTATTGTTAGGGTATTGGTATTTAGAGGTGAATTGCAGTTTTTGTTTTTCGCCAACTCTCCTTTTCTATAATTAAATCAGTTAAGACAAAAGAATTTTGTCTCAGTGGAGTTTTACTATAAGTACCTAACCAGGCCTTCCACAGTCTATGCTACTACATCTAATTGGGGGCTGTGAAAAATTTCCTAGGACAATGAATTTTGACTTTATAGTAGATCATTCTTTATAGTATGTTCCTAAAAAAACCACGTTTCTCTTCAGAGACATTTATTTTCAGGTAGTGGTAGTGCTGTGTAACTAGTAAATGTTACTCTTCACAAAATTGTATAATTTGTTCCTAGGACATTTCATTTATTTAACGCTACATTTCCTGTTTTATAGATAGACTTATTGGTGTCCACTGTACCCATGGTTTAAACAGGACTGGCTACCTCATCTGCAGGTGAGTTGCCAACCCCAAGCGGCAGATCGTGTCTAAGTTGTTTTATTTAAATAATATAAATTATTTGCAACATGCAATCAGTATAGAAATGTATGATGTAGAAAGCAATCTTGTCCCCCACCCAGAGATTACCACCAATAATAATTTAGTACATATTTTTTCAGACTTTAAAAATGCAGATCTAAGCATATACATGTAATTTAATGGTATCATATTTAGACATTCTGTTTTATAATTTAATATATGGTGGACATATTCCTGTGAAAGTATTTGGAGACCTCAGTTTTTAAAGGCTGCATTGTTCCTTTGCTTACTGATGAACATAAGAACAGAAGATTTTCATATTATAAAATATTAAAATAATGAACATTCTTCTATGAGCATCTTTGAATATATATGTTGTCTCATAATTTCACTCAGAATGGAATTTCTGAATCAAAAAGTTTGTTATGCTATTTTGTCGATGTTGCTACAGTGTATTGATTTGTGTTTGTTCATTCAGAAAATATTTATTGAGCATCTGTTATATGTAAGCATTGTGCTGGGTGCTAGCAAAAAGATTTGTGAGCAGAGAGACTTGACCTGCCCTTTGTGGATCCTAACAGTCTAGAGGGGGAATATCTATTCAAGAATCACACATATGCATATAGAATTACAACTTTGGCAGGTGCCAAGAAGGAGAGGGGCATGGATATTAAGAGAGCATATTAATAGGAGAATTTGACCCATCATGGAGGTTAAAGAAGGTTTTATTGGGAGGTTTGATCTGATATATGAAGGAATAGTAGGTATTATCTTAATAAGATAGGGACACTGGGGAGAGAATTCTAGGCATGAGGAAAAGTAAAGACCTTTAACAGGAAATCATATGCTGTGTTGGAGGAACTGGCCAGGGAAGTTGGGCCATGGGGAAAGTATGGCATTAAAATAGACTAGAAGAATAGGTAGGATGTAGGTTGTGCAGGCCTATGTTTAAGAGTTTAGACTTTATCTTAAAAGAAATAGAAAATCGTTGAACTCTCTTCTTTGAGGGTGAGTTAGTGTAGAACATAATCAATTTGCCTTTTCAGCCTATTTTGATACTGAGTGGAGAATACACTACGGGGGCACAAGCATGGAAGCAAGTAGACACGTTAGGAGGCTTTTGTAGAAATTGAGGCCTAATGGTGGCTTCACCCAGGGTGTGGTGGTCCTTTTGGTGGACAGATGTGAACATATTCTAGAGAAATACAGGTAATAGATTGTTAGGATTGGTGGTGGATTGAAAATGAAGACAGGGAAGAAATGGCTGGCAGTGATGGCGACTTCTAAGTTTCTGGCCCATACAGTTGATTAAATAATATTTTTTAGATAATACTTTTTAGATATGATGTTAATTTTTTCCCCCAATTTGTCTTTTGCTGTTTGTTAATTGGCTCATTCCTGTGTCCTTGGAATAAAGCCTTTTTGTGACCATAGTATATCATTCTTTAATAATTATTGGATTAGATGTGCTGATATTTTCTTAGGATTTTTATATCTATTTTTGTAAGTGAAATTGGACCTTTTCTGGAAAAACTTGATTTTTAAATTTTTATATATAAATGACTCAAATTATGTTGTTTTGTTAGATATTTGATTGATGTAGAAGGCATGAGGCCAGATGATGCAATTGAATGTAAGTATGAAGGTTATCATTGTTTTCCTCTTTTAATAAAAGTTGGAGGTGGGAATGTAGATGAGTTTCTCAAATTGTGGAAAAAGAAAAGTTAGTAATTCATTTGTTTTGACATAAGATAATCTTTTGCCAAAAGTTTATGCAGGGATGTATTTGGAAGTAATGAGGTATAACAGCCTGAATAATTAGTCACTGGATTTCAGCTCTGATTTGCTTTTTGTACAATTAATTTCTAACAGTTCTTCCACTCCCCAGTATTCAATAGATGCCGGGGGCATTGCATAGAAAGACAAAACTACATTGAAGACCTTCAGAATGGTTCCATCAGAAGGTGAGTTGCATTTTACATGTGAATTTAGGGAGATTTGTTTTTATGTCATTAAATTGCACATACCCATTCTTCTTGTAGTTTGTTTACTTGATCAGGGAAACCCAAATAAATAGGGATTGGGGGAGGATGGGATGGTTACTTTCATGGGCCGAAATATCCTATATAATAAAAGCCTAATATGCAAATTGTCCCCCTTGGGCGGTCACCCGCTCGCTATGATGTGTGCTGACCACCAGGGGGTGGTATGGAACATGGCAGGTGTCGGCAACACAGTGCTGACAGTGGGCGGCAGTGGAGACACTGCCGGCCCCAATGGGCTCCAACGAGAGCAGGACTGTGGAGGGATGGTGGAGCAGGTGAGCGGGCAGCACCAGGCCAGGGTGGATGTGAGCAGGGGCCCAATCGCCCCTCTGATCACCCTGCAGACAGTGACCAGCAGCAGCAGCGGGGAGGGCGGGGCCGTCTCTCGGCTCTCAGGCGCTGAGGGAGCCGGGCAGGGGGCCTGGCCCCTATATATCGCCCTGCAGGCAGGATGGTGGAGTATGTGAGGGGGCAGTGCCAGGCAGGGCTATGAAGCTGGTACACAAGCTGAGGCTGCAAGGCTGGGGGCACGAGCTCCAGCCCAATCTCCACAGACCACCCCAAGGGACCCCACCCATGCACGAATTCGTGCACCGGGCCTCTAGTAGACACTATATTGGCTACTAAATTTAGAAGGTAGTAATATTGTATGTAAAAAAACATTCTCTTTAAGGGATCGGAATTCCCGTGTATCCAGATCAAGTGGTTTTGAATACTCACCATATATGATGGAACCAGCCCACACCACTAATAACGCTGTTCACCAAGGACCTAGGAATAACGTACATTGGACCCAAGGTTACCGAACACCTCGCCATTTCCACACCCAGACCCAAGATTTACAGCAGTCAGTAAGGTATATTTGCTTTCCCTTTTTCTAGAATTGAAATAGAAATGAATATTATTGCCCTAGCCAGTTTGGTTCAGTGGATAGAGAATCAACCTGTGGACTAAAGGGTCCCAGGTTCGATTCTGGTCAAGAGCACATGCCCAGGTTTCCGGCTCGATCCCCAGCGGAGAGCATGCAGGAGGCAGCTAATCAGTGATTCTTTCTCATCATTGATGTTTCTCTCTCTCCCTCTTCCTTCCTCTCTCAAATTAATAAAAATATATTTTTTTAAAAAAGAAGTGAATAGTATTATAAATTAGTGCAAACATATCTATATATCTATATATATAGATATATAGATATATATATATACACTAATAAAAGGCAAAGATGCTAATTGACCATACCTTTGCTACGCTCTAAGCCACGCCCACCAGCCAGTCAGAGCAACTATATGCAAATTAGCCCAACCAAGATGGCAGCCGGCAGCCATGGAGCTGGAGCAAGCAGGAGGCTTGGTTGCCGGGCGATGGAGGAAGCCAAGCTTCCCGCTTGCCAAGAGCCGGCTGTGGCCTTCGCTCATGGCAACAAAGTTTCAATTATAGAAGACAAATAAATCCCAGATACCTGCTTCCAGCCAGCCTCCACTGGGAGCTTGGGTGGCTGGGGGTTGTGGCCAGCCTGCAAACAACCCTCAGCCCCTCACCCAGGCTGGCCACACCCTCATTGGGTGAGGGTCCCTGCTGGGGGGCTTGGCCAGCTTGCAAACAGCCATCAGCCCCTCACCCAGGCTGGCTAGGCACCCCAGCAGGGACCCCCACCCTGAAGGGGGTGTGGCCAGACTGAAAACAGCCCTCAGCCCCTCACCCAGGCTGGCCATGCCCCCCCAGAGGGGACCCTCACCCCATGGGGGCATGGCCGGACTGCAAACCACCACAGGCTCCTCGCCCAGGCTGCCCCACGCCCCAAGGGAACCTCCACCCTGATCCAGGACACCCTTCAGGGCAAACCAGCTGGCCCCCACCAGTGCACCAGGCCTCTATCTATATTAATAAAAGGGTAATATGCTAATTAGACTGGGAGACCTTCCAGGAGACCTTCCGGACATTCTTCTGGACAAGGCCGAGGTAAGAGGCAGTTAGAGGCCAAGGGAGGGCAAGGGAGGGCAGTTGTGGGTGATCAGGCTGGTGGGGGGCGGGCCGTTGGGGTAAGAAGACCAGCAGGGGGGCCAGTTGGGGGCAAGCAGGCCATCAGTGGGGTTCAGTTGGAGGTGATCAGGACAGCCGAGGGGAGCAGTTTGGAGTGA